ATTTTGCAGTAAGTTCCTTTCAACAAGAAAGCTAACAATAGTACGAACTATCAAGCGTTCCATTACCTTACTAATCGAACTGGTCAGGCAAATAGGCCTATCCAATTCCAAATCCAATTTTCCACAGGTCTGGGACTTCTCCATGAACCCTATTAAAGAGTATGACTAAAGGAGAAGTAAGTCCCAATGCCGCTTTTTTGAGAAAAACATAGGGAATGCCATCCGGCGATGTAGACATTCTGCTGGGAAGCCTCCTCAAAATGGCGTACACCATGTTACTGTTTACATCAACCCAGTCAAGGCGGTCGGAAGTGAGAGGGGGCAAGGTGGCATCACTGTTTTGCGGACTCTTGTAGACTGACCTGAAATATCTGGCAAACAAGTCAGCTTTACTGTGATCGTCTTTGATTAAAGTACCATGCGAGATAAGGTTTGGGATTGATTCTGCTAGTTTAAGGTTCTTCTTACAGTAACTGAAAAAGCGTTTCGAATTCTTACAGGAGGCAATCTGCTTTTCTATCAACACCCGGTGCTTAGCAAGAGCTCTTTTTAGCTTCAGGGAGAACTTCTTATAAAGCAAGTCCCAAGAACATCGTGATTCATGCCACATCTGCACATCCTTGTGCTTTGAAGCATGCAGTCCCGCTATGTATACCATTCATATCTGATAGAGTGACTGCTGCGATTCAGAGATGTCTTTTTCGCGCACAGTTGGACAATGATGTTGTATTAGTTAGTATTCCTAATAATAACATCAAACGCCAACTGGTGCGAAACAGACTCTACGACAGGCAGTGCATATCAGAACAGTGCGTTACTTGTCCACAAGGTTCAAATGGAGATTGCGCCAAAAGTGGTGTGATCTACCAAATTGAATGTTTGGCATGTAACGCAACCTACATTGGGGAGACTGGAAGGCCGTTAGCAATACGTTAAAGACAGCGCCCGCGATGGACTTTGGCAGGTCTCAGGGGTCAAATTTGTTAGAACAGGTGGCCAATGAAGCACTAATCAAAAAAAGCAGGAAAAAGGTGTGGAAGAGCGTGAAATAAGACCCTACGAAATTTAAGGCATGTGGACGAGTTTCGCAGACCTTTGGTGAGTTCTCCAATACACGTCGCCGCCTCGGAACTCCAGAAACTTAGCGTTTATCAATGCCAGCAAGCACTGATAACTGTTAACCAGTCGGGGCGGGATTAACAGGGAAGGAGGCGTCAGCTCAGCCTTGTTGACTCCGCCCTCGTCAATCAATACATTTCGAGCCGCAAGAGTGGGATATCCGCTATGGTTGCGAACTCCGCGTTCGTTTTCATTGGAGGGTTTTTTCACTTTGGTTGATCGCGGACGCTGCCTTTAAAGAACATCTTGCTGGCAAAAAGCCGTGGTAATTAAGAACACCAGTCGGCAAATATTAGATCGAGGAGCACCGCGGAAACGACTTTGATGTGAAGTTCACGATTCTGACGTGCGAGATCTGACATTTTTGCCACGGCCAATAGTGTCGCGCTAGCATTGGGCATTCTGCAAGAAATCGCAGAATGAACAACCGTAATGAGTGCTTATCCATAACAAATGACCTCTTGCCTTTGTGCCGCACTGCGAGCTATTGATGTGAGCGGTTGGACATGCCATTCTGACTATAATTCATTATACAAGATTGGCGCAGTAAGTCTCATTCATTTTACTAACATCTAACTGAGCGGCCACTTCCGCTCTCGCTGTGGTGGACTGGGTGAGTCTTTCCTCTCATTCGGGATTTTTGGGTGGTTTTCTCAGTAGTCTGTCAGAAACGTTAGGGAAGAGGAAATCTTTGGCGGCGTAGAGAAAGCAATAATCATGATCCACGTTCAGGCCTCTGATCTAGTCGAAACGTCAGGCTATAATAAAAGTTCCACCTACAACACTTCGTTGCACAGAAAACTTATGTACACGTAACAAACAATGCCGAGATTTTACGTAATGAGAGGAAGTGGACCACTACTAACAACGCTCTCGGAAGAAAGGTCCATCAACCTGCTGTAATTCCTCTGCGGGGAATGCGTATGAATCTTTTTTCCCCGTATGATCTGCAACAGATTCACAACCGCCGATTTTGCGAAACCGAGCCTGAGTTTTCTCTCATCACAGCATGCTACTGATTTGCCACAGTTGGTGGAGTGCCCAGAGACAAAATCAACCACCGCATCTGTAGTTTAGTGTTGTATGCAATTCTCCAAAGTACGGGGTAGCATTGTTCAGGGCTGAACAATCTCTCCACAGCTGTTCATTCATGAGCCAAAGTCGGAATTCACGGGAGTTCCGCTTTAATAATGAAGCCTCAATGCCCTCATGGCACCGCGGACCTCAGTTCCAACATCCTATTCATGAAAGATTTCGCGGGTGCGCTATTACCGTTGGCAGTATCCGATACTGACGACAATACTCTCTGTCATGTAACTATGCAGCGCGACAAATAACAAAAAGATCCATTTCGGAGAGCAAGTAGCATCGTTATACGATCCGCTGGGGCTGCTTGTACCTCTCACATTCCGGGGAAAGCAATTTCTGCAGCAACTATGGAAGTTCGGATACGACTGGGACACACCACTCTCCTCAGAGCACCAGGAAGAATGGCGAAAAATTGTGCGTGACGTTAACGGATTTCAGATCTCAATCCCAAGAAAAGTTGCTATTTATTTCGTTTGTCCAATTATCTTATCTTTCTATTGCCTTGAACGCTGATTTATGCTCTGGGAAGTTCCCTTGTGTATACCTCGTTTCTGGTGAGGAACGCTCGGGTGTTTGATATTCTTCTTATCTCTATTGCCGGAAAATCGAAACTTCCTCTCTGAAGAAGCAACCCCATATTCCCGATAGTGTTAATCCTATATTGCGTGGCTTATCCAGGGCCAACACAGTTGGCATACTCCATCACACACGCTGTTTAGTTCTGGTTCACGAGTAGGTGTTAAGGTGTGACCAGGTGTGCCATATTCTCCGATTCAGAAATAGCTCTTTAGTTGGCTCAAATCGCCTAAACATGACCAAGGGGGGTGTTCGTTTCGGCGAGGGGGAGTCGAAGTCTCAAGAGGAATCAGAGTTGCGCTAAAGTAGATGAGGGTCGGGTTGGCTGCAATTGTAAGAGTTGTGCAGTAGCGGCTGAGGGTGTCTTTTCTTGCGTGATTGTAAACACGTTAGCTAGTCACCATCGGATCTGTGACAAGAGGCGAGTATAGACGCAGGTATAGGTTGAGCGTCGCGTAGGACACAGGTTATGTGGCAGTTGTGACCGTGAGACGGTTGCAGAAAAGGGATACAACAATATTGTGTCAAAAGGAGGTGAATGTTTGCGCATAGATTTTGCACCTGCCAGTTTCGTATTATAAACTGATGTCAGGATTGTAGCATTGACATGTCTCAAAGAATGCGGGGGTTTCGAGTGCGCGAGTTTCGTGGGATTCCGTGATTCTTCATTATTCGATATTCTGATCGTTTCCGCAAAGGAAGAACTGTTAGCAACGTTCGCTGCGAGTCATTAAGCAGATTTATCGCAAAATGTAAATGAGACCTGAAGAAGCACCTCGAAACCAGCATCCCTCAACTTGCTCAGATGTCAACAGGACCGTACATCACCGTTGACGAAAACGACATAGCTCTACGAGCACTTGCTCGACATCACCAGGGATCATCATTTCACTGAGGAACAGCTAAGAGGTCTTTGAAGCAACTGAAGTGTATCAGCATGATAAATTTGGATATCTATCTGATTATCCAAGGAGCTGGGAACGCGCACATGCGCTATTTCGCATTCGTAAACTATTCCAATGCTCAGTGCTTCGGAAGGATTGGATATCGCCATGAGCTAGTAAACGAAAAGACTCCACTCATCTTCGCATTACCCATCTGCAGCAGCTGCACAAGATTGATGTGCCAATGCTGTCCAGTATGGGAAGTGCTTTTTGCTATTCGAAAGTGAAGCATGGGTTGTCAATATTTTCATAGGTGCTTTAAAAATTCCTTCCGTGTCAGAATATTCATGAGCGATATATTCTGGTTTCTAGATACCTCGGAAGTGGACGGAGTGGGAGTTGTCTACCAGATAGGCGTGTGCAGCGGACACGTCCTTTCGAACACGTAGGAATAGACTTACTTCGGCCCGCTGTCAGCCAAACGCAACGACCTGCATATCAAAGTGTATGGAATCATCATCACATGTATGGCGACGCGCCTCTTACATTTAGAACTGGTCCCAGACATGTCGACAAGCCAGCTGTTGAACGCACTGCGCAGGTTCTTCGCAAGGAGGGGCATTCCAGCAAGCATCACGTCGGACAATGGACCATCGTTTTTGTTAGGCGAACAAATACTTCGTGAGACAGTGCTTCCTCTGATAAATGACGTCACAATTGCAACTGCATTGGCAACGAAGGGAATCGCATGGAAGACAATCACACCGTACGCTCCGTGGCAGGGAGCCTTCTATGAACGCTTGATCAAGTCTGTGAAGCATTCTCCTGTACAAAGTTATGCAGCGTGAGGTTGTATCTGTGGAAACACTGGAGACGCTCTTAACCGAAGTGGAAGGAACCCTCAGTAGTAGACCTTTGACTTACCAAGAAGAGAGATGGGAAGACACTCCCGTACTCAGGCCAATCGATTTCATTCAACGAGATATGGTAGTAACGTATCCGTTCGAGTCACTAAGAGAAAAGTCTGAAGACAGCATTCATCTCCCACCCAATGAAGAAATCCAACTAAGGACACGTAGACAGGCTGAGGAAGCCCTAAAATCCAGCCATCAGTTGACAGAGCGATTCTGGAATTTATGGAGCCAGCAGTACCTCAGCAGCCTTCGTGAAACTCATAAGCTCTCTGCGGACAATAAACGTGGTTCTACCATACGTCCATCACTTGGCCAGGTTGTGCTCATCTCCGATCCTGCTCTTCCAAGAAATTCGTGGAAGCTAGGAAGAATCATTGGCATACCTGACTCCAACAATGAGAAAGTCAGAGAAGTACAGTTGAAGCTACCCAGCGGACACATCGTCAGGAGACCGGTTAACGCTCTCGTTCCACTAGAGTTGGAGGACACCGAGAACGAATCTCCATCTTCCACACCGCAGCCGGACCCCAGGATTTCTTCTGAAGATCGAGAACCAACATCACGATATGAGCTTCGGCCACGTAGACGTGTAAACTACAGCGAGATGACCACTGTTCACTCATCAGCCCATTCGATAGTTTCAAGAAACCTTCCCGTTTCATTCTTGCTGACTTGTGTAACAGCTTTGATGCTGACAGCAGGTGTTACCTTCTGCACCCACCTCAGTTGGACATATGCTCTGCGTTCCAGGAGGCGTCGCAATCATCGCCCACAATGTCGAGCGCTATGAACTTTGCGTTGAGGGGAACTGCCAAATGAAAGAGAGCACTCATGGCAATGAGACGATTCACTTCCCACCAGAAGTGCTCTTACACGAACATCATGTTCAGCTGAACCTTTTCGAAGGGCAAAGTCTCACTGCTTCTTGAAACCTCTTGCCCCCCAGCGCCGTTTTGTGAAAACATCCGCTGTTGGATTTGCACCGCGAACATTCTGAACCCGGAATGTTCCCCCAGAGCAGCCATCACGGCACTCGCATTTGTCCTGTACTTGTCCATTGCCCTCGTGTACGTGCTCTGCTACGTGCCCATGATAGTAGGCAAACCTTGCCGTATCTTCGGTAACGGGATATGCTGCGTCATGAAATCCATTGGGCGGCTATTGTGGTTCCTCTGCTGCGAGATACCATTTCAACGACGGCAACGACGGAGATATGACGTACAGGAGTTCTTGAAGATGCCACTCCTAGCTATCGTTTCTGTGATAACGCTTTCTGCCCTTACAAGGGCTTGTCAGGACATTGACGTACTCTCACATCGTGGTACAGTCTGTTCCTATACACCAACTGGAGCTAAGAGATGTAGCTTGGAGACCACCGAAAGTTATGAAATTTAACAGTTACAATCAGGAAGCGTGTCTACGACTACTCACGAATCAAACGACGCAAAAGGAGGTAAGAATCCAGTGGAAGGGTCTTCGACTGAAGTGTGTAAAGGAAGAAGTGGTTTTCACGCGGAACACCATTCAGCGTGTCGTGGACTCGAAAAGATGCGCTCATACTGGATCGTGTACCGGTAATAAATGTGCATCGATCAACATGTCGTCCCTACTTCCCGAACTCACACAGGGTAACCAGTACCCCGGCATAACGAAGTGCATCGAAAGTTGTGGAGGGCCTGGATGTGGATGTTTTTACCTGAGCAGTGGCTGTCTATACTACAGAATCTTCCACATGCCAATAGACGCGAAAGTTTACGAAATATTTGGATGCGCCCAATGGAAGGAGGAAGTAGAACTAGAAGTCACGACCATAACAAGGTCTGCAGTCCGCAAAAGAACATTTGTTGATACAAGCTACTGTACCTATAAGCACGAGCAGCATGCGGCTCACAATCACTGCTCTCACCTTCCACCGACTACTGCACTGTCATCTCGGTTCATCTCGGACGGTTACAACTAGCCATCTGGAATCATAAAGAATTACCGAACCCCCTTTGCGAGTCATGGGATGACGCGAATTCACTCATAAACTGCACAGTAGCATCAAACTGTGACTGCGACCCAGCGGAAACCACTGTCAGTTGCATCTGTTTCACGATCTGACATCACGGAAACTGTTCTTAAAGGGAGATTCGAGAACTGATTGCCTATCCGCAACCGTGGGATTACAATTCACAGCAATCAAAAAAAGAATCCCAACTTCAGGGCAACAGCGAGAGTTGCCATACGTATTTGTCAGCAAGCAGAACTACTGCGGTCGCATCAAAAGAGACAAGTTCGACGATACGATTACAGTGGTAACCAACCCGATATGCACGATTACGAACACAGTGGCCAAGGGATGTTACCTCTGCCCGCAGGGAGCCGAACAGCAAAGGTGATTTGTCATACAGATGGAAAATACTATGGCAACAATTCAACGAAACGTGACAATTCCGCACATACCTACAGCGCCACAACTTTCAAGGGGAGAGCTTCGAGACTTTGATCTGACATGGCAGAGGATGGGAAATCACGCGAGGTTCGGTCTGTGGCAGAGATAGTACGTGCAAAATATACCGTCTGCGGAACTCAGTATTTCCCAAAACGAATCTAAATCGTTTTCCTTTTTCCGGATGTTCTAGATCGCACTTTCAAAGGAGTAGCTCTATTTACTGTCGGAGATGCTTCGGTCTACCGCTGTTCTGCATCACCTGAGGCGAAAGTGCAGGCGTTTCAGTTTGTGAGAGTTTGAAATATCAGTTTCCGCACATACCTGCAGTGCCACAACTTTCAAGCTGAGTGCTCAGAGACTTTGATCTGACATGGCAGAGGATGGGAAATCACGGGAGGTTCGGTCTGTGGCAGAGATAGTACGTGCAAAATATACCGTCTCCGGAACTCAGTATTTCCTAAAGCGAATCGAAGGGGGAGCTCTATTTACTGTCCGAGATGCTTCGGTCTACCGCTCTTCTGCAGCACCTGAGGCGAAAGTGCAGGCGTTTTAGTTTGTGAGAGTTTGAATGATCAATTTTCGCACATACCTACAACCACGCCCGACAACTTTCAAGGGCGGCTTCGAGCTTTGTATCTGACATGGCAAGAGCATGGGAATCATCACGCGAGGTTCGGTCTGTGGCAGAGATAGTACGTGCAAAATATACCGTCTCCGGAACTCAGTATTTCCCAAAGCGAATCGAAGGGGGAGCTCTATTTACTGTCCGAGATGCTTCGGTCTACCGCTCTTCTGCAGCACCTGAGGCGAAAGTGCAGGCGTTTTAGTTTGTGAGAGTTTGAATGATCAATTTCCGCACATACCTACACCGCCACAACTTTCAAGGGGCGGGCTTCGAGACTTTGATCTGACATGGCAGAGCATGGGAAATCACGCGAGGTTCGGTCTGTGGCAGAGATAGTACGTGCAAAATATACCGTCTCCGGAACTCAGTATTTCCCAAAGCGAATCGAAGGGGGAGCTCTATTTACTGTCCGAGATGCTTCGGTCTACCGCTCTTCTGCAGCACCTGAGGCGAAAGTGCAGGCGTTTTAGTTTGTGAGAGTTATTGAATGGAATCAATTGTCCGCAACATACTCGTACAACGCCACAAACTTTCAAGGGCGGGCTTCGAAGCTTAGATCGACTGCAGAGCATGGAATCACCGAGGCTTCGGTCTGTGGCAGAAGATAAGTACAGTGCATATACCGCTCTTAACAATAGTATTAATCCCAAACGATATCTTTGGTATCATTTCACCGGATTCTTCGCCTTTCCGGTGCCTTTGCGGAGAATGCTCGTCTACCGCATGTATTCTGCATCACCTGAGGCGAAAGTGGCAGGCCGTTTCAGTTTGATGAGTTTTTGAATATCAGTCATTCGAGAAATAGTGCATTCGCGAGGATATCAGAACTTTGATCTGACATGGCAGAGGATGGGAAATCACGGGAGGTTCGGTCTGTGGCAGAGATAGTACGTGCAAAATATACCGTCTCCGGAACTCAGTATTTCCTAAAGCGAATCGAAGGGGGAGCTCTATTTACTGTCCGAGATGCTTCGGTCTACCGCTCTTCTGCAGCACCTGACGCGAAAAGTGGCAGGCGTTTAGTTTGTGAGAGTTTGAATGATCAATTTCCGCACATACCTACACCGCCACAACTTTCAAGGGGCGGGCTTCGAGACTTTGATCTGACATGGCAGAGCATGGGAAATCACGCGAGGTTCGGTCTGTGGCAGAGATAGTACGTGCAAAATATACCGTCTCCGGAACTCAGTATTTCCCAAAGCGAATCGAAGGGGGAGCTCTATTTACTGTCCGAGATGCTTCGGTCTACCGCTCTTCTGCAGCACCTGAGGCGAAAGTGCAGGCGTTTTAGTTTGTGAGAGTTTGAATGATCAATTTCCGCACATACCTACACCGCCACAACTTTCAAGGGGCGGGCTTCGAGACTTTGATCTGACATGGCAGAGCATGGGAAATCACGCGAGGTTCGGTCTGTGGCAGAGATAGTACGTGCAAAATATACCGTCTCCGGAACTCAGTATTTCCCAAAGCGAATCGAAGGGGGAGCTCTATTTACTGTCCGAGATGCTTCGGTCTACCGCTCTTCTGCAGCACCTGAGGCGAAAGTGCAGGCGTTTTAGTTTGTGAGAGTTTGAATGATCAATTTCCGCACATACCTACACCGCCAAACTTTAAGGGGCGGGCTTCGAGACTTTGATCTGACATGGCAGAGCATGGGAAATCACGCGAGGTTCGGTCTGTGGCAGAGATAGTACGTGCAAAATATACCGTCTGCCGGAACTCAGTATTTCCCAAAACGAATCTAAATCGTTTCCTTTCCGGATGTTCTAGATCGCACTTTCAAAGGAGTAGCTCTATTTACTGCCGGAGATGCTTCGGTCTACCGCTGTTCTGCATCACCTGAGGCGAAAGTGCAGGCGTTTCAGTTTGTGAGAGTTTGAAATATCAGTTTCCGCACATACCTGCAGTGCCACAACTTTCAAGCTGAGTGCTCAGAGACTTTGATCTGACATGGCAGAGGATGGGAAATCACGGGAGGTTCGGTCTGTGGCAGAGATAGTACGTGCAAAATATACCGTCTCCGGAACTCAGTATTTCCTAAAGCGAGTCGAAGGGGGAGCTCTATTTACTGTCCGAGATGCTTCGGTCTACCGCTCTTCTGCAGCACCTGAGGCGAAAGTGCAGGCGTTTTAGTTTTGAGAGTTTGATGAAAATCAATTCCGCAACACATACCTACAACCGCCACAACTTTCAAGGGGCGGGCTTCGAGACTTTGATCTGACATGGCAGAGCATGGGAAATCACGCGAGGTTCGGTCTGTGGCAGAGATAGTACGTGCAAAATATACCGTCTCCGGAACTCAGTATTTCCCAAAGCGAATCGAAGGGGGAGCTCTATTTACTGTCCGAGATGCTTCGGTCTACCGCTCTTCTGCAGCACCTGAGGCGAAAGTGCAGGCGTTTTAGTTTGTGAGAGTTTGAATGATCAATTTCCGCACATACCTACACCGCCACAACTTTCAAGGGGCGGGCTTCGAGACTTTGATCTGACATGGCAGAGCATGGGAAATCACGCGAGGTTCGGTCTGTGGCAGAGATAGTACGTGCAAAATATACCGTCTCCGGAACTCAGTATTTCCCAAAGCGAATCGAAGGGGGAGCTCTATTTACTGTCCGAGATGCTTCGGTCTACCGCTCTTCTGCAGCACCTGAGGCGAAAGTGCAGGCGTTTTAGTTTGTGAGAGTTTGAATGATCAATTTCCGCACATACCTACACCGCCACAACTTTCAAGGGGCGGGCTTCGAGACTTTGATCTGACATGGCAGAGCATGGGAAATCACGCGAGGTTCGGTCTGTGGCAGAGATAGTACGTGCAAAATATACCGTCTGCCGGAACTCAGTATTTCCCAAAACGAATCTAAATCGTTTTCCTTTTTTCCGGATGTTCTAGATCGCACTTTCAAAGGAGTAGCTCTATTTACTGTCGGAGATGCTTCGGTCTACCGCTGTTCTGCATCACCTGAGGCGAAAGTGCAGGCGTTTCAGTTTGTGAGAGTTTGAAATATCAGTTTCCGCACATACCTACAGTGCCACAACTTTCAAGCTGAGTGCTCAGAGACTTTGATCTGACATGGCAGAGGATGGGAAATCACGGGAGGTTCGGTCTGTGGCAGAGATAGTACGTGCAAAATATACCGTCTCCGGAACTCAGTATTTCCTAAAGCGAATCGAAGGGGGAGCTCTATTTACTGTCCGAGATGCTTCGGTCTACCGCTCTTCTGCAGCACCTGAGGCGAAAGTGCAGGCGTTTTAGTTTGTGAGAGTTTGAATGATCAATTTCCGCACATACCTACACCGCCACAACTTTCAAGGGGCGGGCTTCGAGACTTTGATCTGACATGGCAGAGCATGGGAAATCACGCGAGGTTCGGTCTGTGGCAGAGATAGTACGTGCAAAATATACCGTCTCCGGAACTCAGTATTTCCCAAAGCGAATCGAAGGGGGAGCTCTATTTACTGTCCGAGATGCTTCGGTCTACCGCTGTTCTGCATCACCTGAGGCGAAAGTGCAGGCGTTTTAGTTTGTGAGAGTTTGAATGATCAATTTCCGCACATACCTACAGCCGCCACAACTTTCAAGGGGCGGGCTTCGAGACTTTGATCTGACATGGCAGAGCATGGGAAATCACGCGAGGTTCGGTCTGTGGCAGAGATAGTACGTGCAAAATATACCGTCTCCGGAACTCAGTATTTCCCAAAGCGAATCGAAGGGGGAGCTCTATTTACTGTCCGAGATGCTTCGGTCTACCGCTCTTCTGCAGCACCTGAGGCGAAAGTGCAGGCGTTTTAGTTTGTGAGAGGGGGGGGGGGGGGGGGGTGTGAGAGTTTGAATAATCAATTCCGCACATACCCTACACCGCCAAATTTTGAAAAAGGCGGAGCTATCGAGACTTTGATCTGACATGGCAGAGCATGGGAAATCACGCGAGGTTCGGTCTGTGGCAGAGATAGTACGTGCAAAATATACCGTCTCCGGAACTCAGTATTTCCCAAAGCGAATCGAAGGGGGAGCTCTATTTACTGTCCGAGATGCTTCGGTCTACCGCTGTTCTGCATCACCTGAGGCGAAAGTGCAGGCGTTTCAGTTTGTGAGAGTTTTGGAGAGATACATTTCCGGCAGCATACCGTGCAGTGCCACCAACTTGCGAAGCGAGTGAGTGCTCAGAGACTTTGATCTGACATGGCAGAGGATGGGAAATCACGGGAGGTTCGGTCTGTGGCAGAGATAGTACGTGCAAAATATACCGTCTCCGGAACTCAGTATTTCCTAAAGCGAATCGAAGGGGGAGCTCTATTTACTGTCCGAGATGCTTCGGTCTACC